AAATTACCCACCCCGGCGGCCGCCCCCCCCCCCCCGCAAATCCCCCCCCCAATAATATGCAACTGGAAGGTTACGAAAGGCAAGTTTTAGTCAGGAGAGCAGCAAGTTTCTATTTGTGTTAAGAGAGAGTGACACAAATTTATAACTGAAAGTCAAGTGTCACGATACTTTCTCTAGTAACATACTCAGTATCTCTTAATTTCAATTCTTCATTCATTATCTCTATTGTTACAAGATACAAATGAATTACTGCATGTGAGACACCTAGTCCAGAGCTGGCACAACTGAGTGCTCAAAGCTGGTAACCATTTTGTCTCATCAGGAGGATAATGGAACTCAGGAAACACTTCTCACCCAATATCACCCCATCAGCAATTCCACGTTATTTAAAGACAGAGTCAAGCCAGGTACAGACTACAGCCTCTACCTCTCTCCAGTCCAAATCCAGGATGATGGCTGGAAGTTCCCTTGCCAGGTTGTAGTCAGGTCTGGCAAAATCTTCAGGCGCTCCACCACAGTCAGGGCTTTTGGTAAGAGTTTCTGTTCTCTGGACTCCCTGCCATCCTCCTGTCACTGTCTCCTGCTTTCTCTCCACTAAAGAGGAAGCACCCTGTTAGCGGGAGAACAGCCACACAAGGGTCACTATTCTGGAGTTCTGTTTGCCTTGATACTTGTCATTCGTGTTACGGCTGGGGACGAGGGTAGGAAGCTAAAGAATGATGGTTCAGTTGCCATAGATTGGTCAGTTTCCTGGTGACCACTACCTTATGTGCAATTTTAATGTTTCTTGAGAATACTGGAAGTCTCTTTAATTATAACTAGGTCTAATTGCTTAGTTGTCTAATTGCCTTAGTTGCTTTCTGGAGCAGAGTGGAATAAGGCCAGTGTGAGTAAAGGTAGATGATAAACACAGCTCCAAAGAAACTCTGCAGGAGTCCTCTCACCCCTACCAAGGCCAGCTGGGGTGAGAGACTGTCCAGCTTCTCCAGCAAAAGAACCTGCTGGGATGGCCCTCTGACCCTGCAATCGCAAGAGAGTGGAGCTTAGGTGAAATATCCACTGTGGCCTCAAACAAATTGCAGAGACTCTGCAGGGTGTGAATTTAAGGGAAATGTGAAAATTCTATTTTGCTCAGTGATGCAAGGAAACATCAATAAACAGAAACCCTTGGCTTTGGATATTTTTCATTTTTGTGACCAAGAACTGTGTTTTTTAAAACATCATTTTTAAATGAAGGCAAAGAGAAAAAACAGTGATGTGGATGAGCAATTAATTGTTTTTGAAAATGAGGTAAACAAAGAGAAAATAATTCACAACACCTAAGAGCATGGGCTGCTAGATTTTTTCTCAGTTGTCTGAATGATAGGACAAGTGAAAAATCTTTGTTTTTACTTAGAATCTTATTGATTATTATTAGAGGTCACACAATTCAGTATTTTGAAGGAAATGCAAACCCTTTAGTTCATAATGCAAACAGCCAAAATGTATTTAGTTTGAAGTCACTTGCTTGTAGCTTCTCCTGTATCTCTTTCTCCAGCTCTCACTCTCTTCCTCAGGCCCTGCCTGCCTTTCTCCTTCCTTCCCTCCCTCTTTTTCCATCTCTCCTCAGGGATGGGCTAGGAAATAATCAATTGCCCTTGATGGTCAGGTTCCTTATGGAGCCTAGACAGTGCCCTGTGATGAGTTGGAAAGGCTGTTCATCTCTTTTATTGACATCACCATTCACTCACTTACGGGGTATGACTGTCTTAGCACAAACGTAAAGCTGACTCATCTGGCCTGACTATTGGCAAATCGATGGAGGCAGCCATCCGGGGTGTGAAAAAAAATAATTCTGCATTAGGCAAACTGTGTCCCATTTGGCCAAGAGTTTTTGTACCATAACTCCATCTAATTGCCGTGTCAACATTTAAACCATGTCCTATATCTCTTTGCCGCATTAAAATACCTTCATCTTGGTCTGGAATGCTTTTTACTCTCTTACATCTCATCTTTATCACCCTGTCTCTACATCTCTCTGTCTCTATATTTCTGTTTTCTTCTTCTTTGAACTCCTTTCAGTGGATGCTTAAAAATATGAAACTCTGCCTATTTGTTCATAGAATTAGATTTTTCCTGCTTCTTGGTTTTCTCCTTTAGCAAATGGGCCAGCTGTGTTGTGTTTGGACAGTCTTTAATCTATTTGGGAGTGTCACCCGAGTGTATATCATAGTGATCCTGGCAGAGGTATACACATATCGTATTCAGGACCCACTCTGCGTGCCTGGGTGATTCCCCGAATAGAATAAACCAAAAACAAAAACATGAAAACCTTGAAATAAATACTCAAATGTATCACTGAGCCATTCTATAAGCCCTAAGTCCAGTTTATTTCTTCTTCCAGAACACCTTCATTCTCTGGCAGACCAGGGATCAGAAGCTTCCCCTCTGCCACTTCCTGCATCCCTCTCACTAGCCTCCTTTGACTTTCCTTTCTATAGTGGGGAGTCACCTGCCATCACAAGTTTGCTCTCCTGCACTCCTAAGCTCTAAACGTGATTGTCCTGAGCCCCCCAAAGAATCTGTCTCTCTCAGTCACCTCTGCAACTTTTAGTAATTGTTCTTTCTTTCAGGTCCTTCACTCTACTGGCATTTGTTGCTAATAGGAAATCAGAAATAGGCCTCCTCGCATAACTATTTTAGGTTGTATCTTGGTTTGGGTTCCCCTGAAAGAAAACTTTGAGACAAGGATTTGAATTAAATTAATTTATTTGAGAGGAAATCCTAGGAAACATAGGAGTGGGAAAATATGTCAAGGAAGGGAAGGAAGATAATAAAATGTACATGATCAAGCCAGTTAGCACTATGAGCTTAGAGCTCATTCCCACTGGGAAACCCCGGGAGAATACACATCAGAGTTATGCCAAACAAAGGCGAGGAAGCTGGGGTATTATCCACCAACTCCCCACCTGTTGTCACCATTAACCCTCTGGGACTTCCAGTCTGTTCTACTTGTGGACTGAGTGTGTTTCCATAACCTCAGTAAATCTTCAGGAGAGGATCATATATATGCCCGGCAAGAGGCCTTCATTAAGCAGAGGCTGAGTAGATGTAGCAGATACTGATGGCATCTGTGACAAGGGTCTTAATATTTTTTCCACTGGTTCAGAGAGGGCTTTGTCTTCTATACTCAAGAACTTACTTGAGGGATTTCCCTGATGGCTCAGTGTTTAAGAATCTGCCTGCCAATGCAGGGGACACGGGTTCAATCCCCGGTCTGGGAAGATCCCACATGCCGCGGAAAAACTAAGCCGGTACGCCACAACTACTGAGCCTGTGCCCTAGAGCCTGCGAGCCACAGCTACTGAGCCCACGTGCCACAACTACTGAGCCCACTTGCCACAACCACTGAAGCCCACGTGCCACAACTACTGAAGCCTGCGTGCCTAGAGCCTGTGCTCCGCAACAAGAGAAGCCACTGCAATGAGAAGCCCGTGCACCGCAACGAAGAGTAGCTTCCACTCGTGGCAACTGGAGAAAGGTAGCATGCAGCAGTGAAGACCCAATGCAGCCAAATAAATTAATTAATTAAATTAAATAAATAAAAATTAAAAAAAAAAAACTTACTTGAAGTCACTTCAGTTCAACATGATGTCCTCAATGTCTGTTTTATGCTGGGCACTGTTAAGTGCTAGAGATGGAGAGATGAATAAAGCATTCTGGCTCCAAGGCACTTACAATTTAGCAGGACAACAAAATCACTGAAATAGCCCCTGATCTTTTCTAGTACCAAACAACTAAATAAGAACCAGGTGTTCTTCCTGCCCCTTCAGGGACCTATAACTTGTGCTTTATTTCTAGGCCTTTGGACACATAGAACATTCCTCTCTTCTGTCTGCCCACTGCCTGCCCCTCCTCTCCCTCACATTCCTCCTTTCACCTGACTCACCCAGAAGCATCTTTCAGCTATCAGATGTGGCCTCTTCCAAAAGCCTCCTCTTATTCCCCAAGGTTGAGTTAAAATCTTTTCTTAAAAGCTTTCTTCAAATCCCACATGTCCTTAATAGCAATACTTATATCAGTTCTATCAATTCTAATTTCTAGTTTATGTATCTATATTTTCCATGAAAATGTATATTTCTCAAAGATGCTAAATATGATTTCTTCACCTTTGTTTCCTAGGCATCTAGTATACTGCTGGCACACAGTGGGAGTTTAATAAATATCTGATGAGTTATAAATTTTACACACACACACACACACACACACACACACACACACACACACACTAGTGACCAGGTAGGGTAATCATTCAGGGCCACTAACTAACTGTGTTTTATTTGCCTTTAAGCTAAGCCAGAAATCCCCACGATTGTGGAAAATAATTCCATAGGTGTCTTCGGAGAGGTGAGTCACGTTAAAGCTTTTGAAAATCTACAGCATAATTTGCCAGTGTGTGTCAGTTTGCATCATTGCTCAGAATGTTTCTCAGAGGACCTTATTCCAATTAATTTCTGGTGGGAATGAAGGAAAGCTGAGTTGACTCTAGAACCCAAATGGGAATCCTTATTTTCTGACTTAGGGCTCTCAGAAGATGTTATCTTGTGATCCTTAGTCCTTAAATTTCCTGGAAAAATTGTCTCAATTGTTTAAATTTCTGTTTAATAAATATTGAAGTAGATAGTGAAGAAAAGTAGGGCAGAAAGCAGTGTGAATCCTGTTGTAAGAATGAGGTTTTTGCTCATCCTTTGACGTTTAATTTGTTCTAATTCATTTCCTATACCAGCTTTCCTAGTGTTTTTATTTTTAAGTGACAAGAGGAAATGTACCCTTCTGAACTCATTCAGAACCCTGGCTATTTCTTAGGCAGTACAAGGAAGGGCAGGAGAAAAAGGAAATTAGAATAGGCCCCTCTGACTTCAAATTCTTGTAGGTAGTTCCCAGCCTCTAGTCTCTGGCATCTGGGCTTATTTCCCAGCTCTTCCTCTTGCTGGCTGTGACCTTGAACTAATTACTTCACACCTTTGTAGTCAGTTTTCCCATCTATATGAAGGGGGTAAGGAGAGTATCAGCACATTGTTGTTGTTTTTAGGAATTAAATGAAATAATGCATGAAAAATTCTCGGTATATTGTTTGGTATATATTAAGTGTTCAATAAACATTTTGTTGTTATTACTACTAATGTGTGTCGATCAGCTGTCTTGTGGCATTATGACTTCATTGAAACTTTTCAAAATCCCAAGTAAAATAAATATTCTCCTTAATTCTCAAACATTTCCTGTTACATGGGATGAGAGAAAATTATATTCCAGTTTCTTCTAGCCCCAAGAACATTAAATAACTTATGATTTCTTGTCATGTTTTCACTGAATATCAGTCATGTAATCTGACAGCTGCATACAAACCATAGCTCAGGCTCTGTGGTATGGTTTTAGATGAGTATATTATCCAAGTCTTTTGATTTTATGAATTAGTCTCTTAGATTGTTATTATAGTCCCAAGTACATAGGAAAGGTTTCCATTTTTTTGTTCTGCCACAATTAATTTTCAAGTTTATTAGTGGACTGCATTTCAATAGTTTAAGTAAAATAAACAATCTAATGATACAATGTTTGGTAGGTGTTTTGTTTCTTATCAGGATTTTTTTGTAGGTTCTTGGGCCAATGTTTATAGGTAACATGGACTCAATCCAGATATAGAACCACAAGGTTGGATCCAAGAATTCCAGTTCAAAAAGAAAAGGACTTTGTCTTATGTGTCATCAGATTTTCTCTTCTGTACCCATGCTTCCCTGGGCACTGACTAGAAAAACCAGAGAACTTTCCTTCCTGGGGAATTAGTTCGAATTAGTTGGTGTGGAATCACCAACTCCACATAACCAGCTACAGGACACAGCTTGTCTGCGGATCTTTCAAGACCTTGACAAACGTTGGTAATTCCTCACTCTGATATTCTTATAATCCCAATTATATTTTTAATAACTTATTAACTCTTCAAAGCCCTTTCACATGCTTTTATCGTGTGATGCTCCCAATAAGCCTCTGAAATAGGTAGAACATCTTGTTGTTTCACGGATGAGAAATTGGAGCCTGGAGAGTCTAAACCACTGGCTGAGCCACTAATGAAGGGCAGAGGTGGGAAGAGAATTTAGCATGCCTGTACCCAGGCAGGATGGCATAACAGAAGGAGATCATGCTTTAGGGGCAGATAGAACTAAGGTCAAATCCTAATTCAACCACCTACTAGCAGCATAGCCTCATCTAGTAGTTAAGCTCTGTGAGTCCCAACGAACTCATCTCCAAAACTGGGATCATAATCAATATTACACAGGGTTCTTAGGTACGTCAGATTTATGCACAGTAATGGAGTACGTAGCACAGAGTGGATGTCTCAGAAATGTTTCTTCCCTTCCCACTATTTATCACTCACTCACTCTCTTTCACTTATTCCTTCCTCTGCATGAATATTCATAAATCTGCTATGTGATTGATTCTCAGAGACAGTGGGAGTTAATGAAAAGATACAGCAGGACGGGTTGTGGAATCTGATAAACCCGGGTCTGAATTCTCCTCCTTCACTATTAACTCTGGGCCTTGGACCGGATTAGATTAGACTCCTCATCAATGAGCAGGGACAATGATACCAACCTCACAATGGTGACATAAGGACCAAATGAGAGAGCTGTATGCAAATTAGTGCTCGGTAATGGTAATTTCCTACCCTCTTCCCTTCATCTCTTAAAAATTAACCAAGTCAACATGCATGCATTGATGCTTACTAGGCGCTACATGTTCACTGCACCAGCAGCCCCAAGTGTTAGAACAATAGGGGTTTGGTCAGCTGTGAACTGTGTCTTCCAGTGTTACTAGTTAAAATTACAAAGCTTATGGTTAATTTAGCTTTCCTGTAGAATAGAAGAGCCCCCAGATTATTCTATCAATGATGCCTTGCAGGCTTAGACATGCAAGGGATGTCCACGGAGAGTGTCACCCCTATGGATGTTGTGTTCTTGCGAGTTTCCAAGGGCTGGGCTTTGCCAGGGCTCCAGCATGGCACACAGCCTCACCTCCACAGCTCCATGGAAAGAAAGAGTCTTTAACGTAAACTTCAGGGTCCCCCATGTAGCAGCTTTTTGCTCTAGAGCAAGAGATGCTGGGCCGAAGAGTCCCTCGGCCACAGCCCCTGGCCCTCTATACCCCTTACTCTGATGATGCAGCAAAAGAAAGCACAGGAGAGATACACAAAAACTCTAGTTTACTCAACAGGGCAGTCTTTCCACGAGCCACATGTGCCTCTTTTTCCTGCCTGTGCTTCAACTAGATCATCTCCATGGGTCCTGTCCTTGTCACTCTCTATTATGTTTCACAAAATTTAGGAAAAAAACTAAAAAAACAAAACAAACAAACAAAAAACAAAACTACCTCACATGTGAAACGTAGGAAACAAAAGCAGGTGGGATGGAAATGCCTAAAAAGGAAAAGAGGTTAAAATAATAAGACCCATGGAAAAAAGACACTGTAATCTAAAACCAAAACATCAGAGTTTAGCAGGACATCTCCAGTAGCTATTTACAGAATTTGATTGTTTCTGTTTATTTAATTTTGGTTTTGCAAAGCCTGAGTTTTGTGCATTCCTTGACCTTCTTAAGCTCCATTTCCTGTGTGTGTGTGCACATCATCATTTGCAGCAGTGAGCCCCTGAGCCCCTGAGCTTTCACCACAGATGGAAAGGGTCCTAAAAGGGGCATCACACCCCCGGGGGGAAACCATAAGGAAGGTGAAAGCTTTAATATCAGGCAGGTTTCTAGAAAAAAGGGGATTACAGGACTGCAATGCAGCCTGGGTTTTTCACAAGCCTGGTGTTTGGACTTGTGTCTTTTCACAAACAGCTCACAGGGAAGACAGATATGACTGTTAGAGCTGCTGACAAGTCTAAGAACAGCAGTAAAAAGGAGCCACATAGGTGGGGACTGAATAAGGCAAGACACCATTATTATACCAGGATCTTGTCTGCTTTAGGGACATGACTGTCTACAAGATGAAATGCTGGCTTTGTCTCCTCTTGTCTTCCCCCGCTCTCACCATGCCCTCTTCCCCACTCCCAATGAAGTTTTGTTTTGTTTTGTTTGTTTTTGCGGTATGCGGGCCTCTCACTGTTGTGGCCTCTCCCGTTGCGGAGCACAGGCTCCGGACGCGCAGGCTCAGAGGCCATGGCTCACGGTCCTAGCTGCTCTGCGGCATGTGGGATCTTCCCGGACCGGGGCACGAACCTGTGTCCCCTGCATTGGCAGGCGGACTCTCAACCACTGCGCCAACAGGGAAGCCCCCAATGCAGTTTTAAAAATAAATAAATAAATAATAGGTTCTACAGGAATCATCCGAAACAAGTCAGCTCCAGCACAAAGGCCAGAGTAGTTTCTAGTTTGATTTTATTCTACTCCTGAGTTAATATTTTAAGCATATCCTCAGCAGCCCAGGGCATTTTCCTCTCCATATGGACTGCTGGATCCCTTTTCTCAAAGCATCTCTAAATATTTAAAGATGAACAGCTCTTAAAAAATCGGAGAACAAGGCATTGGCATGCAGTTAGTATCTTAAAGAGGAATATAATCTGAAACCTACTGCTCAGATGAATGAGTGGTCTGTGTGGTACGCGGGGACAAAACAAAAGCTACTTAACTCATTAAGATTGACCTCAGAAGCTAAGAACATGTTCTCTGTCCTTCGCTCTCTCAGTCAAGGTCTCCTACCTTTCCATAGTGAATTTTCTCTAGGGAACTGTCTCTCTTATCTTCACATTTCTTCTCTATCTGTTTCTTTTTTGGTTTTCTGCCTCTGTTCTTTATTTCTCCTAATATACCCCAATCTCTCCACCTTTTTCTTTTTCTTTTTCTTTTTCTTTCTGAGGTTCTTTCATCTCTTCCTCACATACTCCTCCTTTAACAGAGCTTAAAATGAAATCAAATTATGCTTTAATATATATCCTCTATTCTTTTTTTTTTTTTTTTTTGCAGTACGCGGGCCTCTCACTGCCGTGGCCTCTCCCGTTGCAGAGCACAGGCTCCGGACGCGCAGGCTCAGCGGCCATGGCTCACGGGCCCAGCCGCTCCGTGGCCTGTGGGATCTTCCCGGACCGGGGCACGAACCCATGTCCCCTGCATCGGCAGGCGGACTCTCAACCACTGCGCCACCAGGGAAGCCCGATATCCTCTATTCTTAATGTTTAATTCAAGTGAGTTGAAAAGTCTTTACTTTTCTCTGTGCTAATTATGCATTAATTACTTATGTGTTAGATTGTGAGAGAGACTTACAGGATTCAGACAGGCTATATTAATGAAACAGCTTTAATATAAGCACGGCAATAATGGGAGAAAGATATGCATCAGAAGGGTCTGGAGATCTCAGGCTCAGGTTTCTTTATCCTTCCACTGCTGGGTCCCACAGAACAAGCTTCGTATCCAGTTCTCAAATCAACACCAGCATGTGTGCAAACACCTCTCTCCCAGGAAGTCTAATCTCTCTTCATGGTGGGCTCTCAAGAGTGAGCTGGTCGCATACGCATATTCCAGCCACCCAACCAGCCTCAACCATCAAAACCTTCAAGTCCACCAAAACCAAGTGCTAGGCATAAATCCCATTATTTTCACTCATCAGTGCTGACAGGCTGGTACATTCTGCTCCCAAATAACCCACAATACCCATGGTGGTGAACTGACATTTCTCTTTAGTTAGTATATTTTAAAGTTTTGGTGAATACAGCTCTAGTGAACCTTATAGACAAGCATTTGGCCAATTCAGACCTGCTGAGATTAACCCACACTATGCTCTCTTTCTCTTAAAAACAAAATCCCACTAAGCCACTTTGCTGTATATTAGAGCTGGAACTAAAATGCCTTCTTTGCTACGGGTCTAAAGTCAGTGTTTTCAGAAAAGAATCCCCCAAGCCCCGTTTAAACAAAATGGAAGGGATGAGCTGCTGCGGGCTGGTCTTTGTCCCTCGGGCAGGCCTTCTCGGCCCTCACCTTCCGCCTCATCTCCAGGATGGCCCTTTCCACCTCCTCCAGGGCTCGCTCTCTCCTTTCCACTGCCCTCTCCCTCCTAAGTGCCTCCTTTTCTCTTTGGCTGGCCTGCTCCAGGATCCTGGCCCAGTCGCCCTCAATGCCTGTGGGGAGCTGCGGCCCTTGAAAACTGGGGTCCTGGCGTTGCCCGGCCTGACCGTGGCCACCCTTCTCCAGCTCCTCTTTGTGCATGCTTTTCAGATGCTTCCACAGGGCTGTGGTGCCCACGTTAACCCCAGGGTCACGGCCCACCTGCCCGCCACACAGGCGGCACGTGGTGTATGGGTTGGGGTGGTGTCCAGCATGGGCAGGGGCCAGGTGGAAATACTCCCAGGCCTCGGAAAACCAAGTCCCCTTGTTGTGGGGCATCGGGGTGGGCGTGGCACCCGCCAAAGGGCCGACTGGTCCTCCTGTCTCACTGATCTCCCCCTCCTTCACTTCTAAGTACCCTTTTGCCTTTATCCTGGTTCCCTCTCCTTCCTCCTCTTCCTGCCTCATCCTTTCTCTTCTTTACAGCTTTCCCTTCCAAAAGTCTCTAAGGCTAAAAGTGTACTTGGGAAGGGACTGTGGTGACTCTTGGGGATTTGCAATAATGGTCAAAGGCCAGCCACACCTGGGTGGTGTGATGTTTCCTTTCTGCTTCACTGGAGAGTAAGGGTGCATCAGAGCCAAGCAAAATGGCCTCGGAGGCCCTCCTGTACATTCCCTCCATGACCTGGATACATACTGGTCCCTCCTTGGCTGGCCCAGAAGACAAAACAAATTAGTGCAACAAATACAAAGGCCTTGAGTGAGCTCAGTGTTCTCTGCGTCAACCAGCAACACGGGTGTTTTTGAATATTGAAAATTTTAGGTTTTTCTCTTGAGTCTCCACCTGGCTGCTTCCACTGTTTCCGTGCTCCTGGCGATCGATCCAATGCGTTCTGGAAGCAGGAGGAGAAGCCTCAGGGTTCAGGCTGTTCAGGAGCCCCAGGGCTGGGGCCTCACTGGGTCTCCCTCAGCGTGGGTAGAAGCGAGCATAGACAGATGCTGATGTCGGAGACTCGCGTGTCCTCAGAACGGATGCAACAGGCTGTCCGGAGGCTACAGAGTCTGCCAGGGTCTGGGAAATAAAGTTCTCAATGTGAGGTTAGCTTGTCCCTAGGGAGGTCCCTTTGGAGCTGGGATTCTAGGAGGTCCACACAGCAGGCTTAGCTGTTTTCAGTGGGAGGAGCTGGCATGCCCGAAGGAGACAGAGGTGGAGCGAATCTCCACAGACCTGGTTGTGCCTGGGTGTCCTCGGCAAGCAGCTCACCATCGTCCACCTTCCCAGGCACCATTGCCTGCAAAGCCAACGGCTGATGAGAACTTCCTGACAGCGACTTAGTCCAGATGTTTGGCTTATTTTAAGAGGTACCTCATTTTAAGAATAAATAAAGGGAAAATTATAGTACATGTTAAAAACAGCCTGACTTCTCTCTCCTTTCTTGGGTCATTTCTTAAGTGATTCGTTAAGCTTTGCAACCTTGAACAGTTAGGAAGCACCTCCCAGCCACAAGTGGGTACTTACAGGCAAGCAAGTCTCTGGACTGGTCTCTGATGGCTCCGGTGCAGGGTGAGCACTCCTGCCGCCTTAGAAGGCTGTTAGCTGACTCCTATCCCTGGGAGGAGGGCACCTCCAGTTCCTGTTCCCTCCCACTTCCAGGGAAGCCTGGTTTCCAAGTGGGTGTGTCCCTGCCTGTAGGGTTTTTCTGCAACAAATGCAAAACTTTTCTCCGCCCCCCTCCACCACTGAAGAAAGTTGTCCCTGGCAAATATCATGTAGTAAAACAGTAAGTCGAGCACCTACAAGTCTTAGTTCTGTTTCCAGAAGACTAGATCATCTGGCCTGTCAAGCAAAGAAGGAGATTTAAGAGGGGGAATGGGTGACATATGGGCAGAGAAACCACATGCCTCAAGAATATCTGTGGTTTCAAATATTTTGTCCAATTGTCAGACCATGAGTCTCCATTTTTGGTTGGAAACTATTGATGTTGTAAATACAGTCAGTAGAAAAGCCAGAGAACTTGCAGAAAGGGGAAGATTAAGTGAAAGGACTCCCCCCCCCCCGTTTTAGAGAAATATAGTAAATTTGGGGGTGCTTTTTATTATATCATGTAACTAGAATTGGAAAAGCTGAAATATGTTGGCTTCTACTCTCAATTGGAATGAAATAAAGGTTTAATCACCTTAAGCAGAAACATATGTACTTCAGATAGGTAGATATATAGATAGATTTAGGAAGGAAAACCTACCAAGGGGGGACAGGCACATTTTAAAGAAGGTGTCCATGGGAGAAACAAATTTTGAGTTATAGAAGAAAATATAGAAATGGTAGAGAGTAGAAAACATGGAGAGACCGAAAGTCAAATTTCAAGTGAAAAACAAATGTGTGGGGCATGGAGAGACCCCAAATAGAAATGAAGAGTTGGCAAACAAATAGGGAAACTCTTTTTTTTTTTTTTTTTCTTTTTTTAGGTTTTCTCTTTCTAGACTAAACAGCTATTTTCAAACTGATTCTGTGAAAAGTCCTTTGGAAAAGGTTCTGTCCAAACTTAAGCCAACTGAATATGGGACAATTTACAAATGGTCACCATTTCAGTATTTCATCTGTGGAAATAAGGGAATGATCTGTCTTATAGCCAGATTTGGATTCATGTCTCCTGACTCATCAGTTTTATCCTGCTCCAACCTCTCCTTCCAGGACAACATCCCCACCTCACTCCCAAGCCCGGGAACCGTTCCATCGGCTCATCTTTGTGAATCCCCCACTACTTTTCACCTGTAGGATCCAGGCCCAACTCTTGCCTGTCCACAAAATATAACTGTGCCCTCTAAGTTATTCCCAGATTTCATCCTTCTCTGTACTCCTACAGAACTCTCCAAATACTTTTTGACACTTACTGCAGAATTCTTTGTGCTACTGCTTACTTATTCCATATGTACTTAGAGTAATGTGCTGGAGAAACCAATAATTTACTTGTTTCATAAATGCAACAGATACACTGAGTGAGTGAATGATTTTCACTTCTCAGCAGAGTAAGGGGTGTGTGTGTGTGTGTGTGTGTGTGTGTGTGTGTGTGTGCGCGTGCGTGTGCGCACGTGCGCGCATGCATGCTTATATGTATGTGTACGTAAACTCTTGTTCATATTTACTTCATTTTTTTCCCAAATTTAGCATGTTTTTCTTAATTGTTTGGAAATACAGCTCTGCTTTCTCAGCAAAACCATATGTGCTTGACATTTCATAATATGTTCGACTTCAGTTTGAACTAGTTTAGTCTGAAGCTTTTCAATTTTGGAGACTAAAGGAGTTTCGGGACAAGAACCATATCCCTAAACAAAATCTTGGAACACTGTCTGGAGCTCGTATAGAATATATGAAATCTGAATCATTCCATGAAATCTGAATTCAGAGAATCTACAAGAGTTAAATCTTTTTGATATTTTTATTAAGTTGACAAGAAATTTCTTCAGTGAGCCAGTTGCCTTTATGAAATAATGGAACCCCTACTTGTTCCTGATATGACCATATCCTCATCTTTTGGTGGGTTGAATGAGCATGGAGAAAATGAATCATGAGAGGGGTTAAAGGTATGGGCATTAATACAAACCTTTACAACTTTTAAAAAACATTTTTTTTCCTGTAACTCTTACATGGACGACTTGGAGATAAATATCAATCTTTGGCACTTTATTGGATTAAATAAACTGAATTCTCTTATTAAAAATACATTTCAGGGGACCTGGTTTTACTTTTAGGACAGAAAGAGACATAATTTCATGGAGCTGCATTCCTGTCACGTGCCTGCATCCCATTGGCAAGTGCTGAATGGGTAGGAAAGCTGGGGCTGCAGTGTTTGCTACTACCATTTTGGATACAACAGATGACCTCCTCTGAAAGTCTCATGATTTCCTTAGGGTTTTTGCCATGACGTGATATTCTGAGGGATGTTCAGCTGCTCCTCAGTGGGATCTCACCAGAAAGATGGGACTTAGTATCCTTAGGTTTGGTTTCTCGGTTCTGCTCAAGACCAGACTCTTTGGGCATCACTATCCTTTGGGGAAATTGGCACACCAAGCATTAAATATAGTTAATTGTTCTTTACTAGTTAACTAGCACATTCATCAATCTTCATGTTCATCAATGAAAAATATTTGAGAACTAAGAACGAGGGCTGGTCATATGTAAAACACACTTATCTCTGGATGAGAAAACAAGTAACTAAAAATGGGATTATAATTTTGCAGCGTCTCAGGTAAAATATTGAAGATCCAATAAGTCTTATCGGATATGTTCACCAGGCTCTTGAAAAAACCACCATCTTAAAAAGAACAAACACAGTGTTGAAAATAAAACGTAACTAACCCTCCTCTAAGCTTCCGGGTTTTGTAACATAAGCTACCTCTTCTTCTACTTCTTTCTTATTTCAATACAACGTGTTTTACCAGGAAATGTCTTGGACTGGGATTAAGGTAACTCTTCCAATTGTGCCATCAACTACATTCTACTCCATTTAACCATTCTGTGATTCTGTGCCTTGATTTCCCCATCTGTCAAATGGCAATGATAAGGTGGGTCCTAGCTAGCCTATAGGATTGTTTAGATGATAAAATAAAAAATTAATTAGGAAAACTCTTTATAAGTCAACAGTGAGATATTTATATTAAATGGTTCCTGTAATTGTTGCTACAAATAGTACTTTACATTATTTGGGGAACGAAGGCAACAAAAGTCTGGCAACAGACTTTTCTTATCTGCCATTAGAAAAACACATACTAATGAAAAGAGAAAAGACAAAGGAGGATTTTGGGAACTGAAGTCTGTTTTGACAAGTGTGTATGATATAAACCAGCCCAATCAAACAACCTGACCATCTGGTATATGGCTGTGTCTCCAGTCCCTGGAAACAAAGTGTGGAATAGCTCATCCGAAAAGATCATGTTTTCCTTGGGTGAGTTGTCTATTTAATGAGATCAACAAGGTGTGGCCAAGACTGCTGTAAGTTCAGAACATTTCTAACTGAAATGAATAGAATACTGATTATTTCCATGATATTTTAATCTCTGAAAACTCTCTCTACACAACTCAAAATTATTAGATTTCAAAGTAAGGGACCTTTTTGGACTAAAGGAACTCTACTGAAAAGAATTTCTTCAAATAAAAAATAGCTGATTCCTGTTTCTAAGAATTTCTGGTGAATACAGCAATTTTTAAATTCAAATTCCATTAATAATAGCTCACTAGCATTTTTGTTAATCTACAATATAATGAAAATTAACACTAATATACTGATGATCAAGAGAGTTTTTAAAACCCTAAAATTACTTCAGAGTCTATAAAAACATTCATTTATGTAAAGGATATATAATTCTAATACTTAAGAATGGATAAACCATGTATGAGATATAATGATTTTATTTTCTTTTTATTGAAGTATAGTTGATTTACAGTGTTATGCCAACCTCTGCTGTTATAACAATTTTAGTATCCCTAGATTTGAAGCGCAAAATCTGACATGGAGGATTTTTATGACTTGAAAATTTATATGTGGGATCATTCTACTATTACAACATTAGATTAACCAGAATATTCATTACTCTGAACCAGATCAAACAATAAAAATTTACTACATAAAAGATGTGAACAAATATCTCAACAAATATCTCAACAAGTGACAACAGATTGTCTATAGAAAATAGAAGTGCGTAATGACAACTGTCAAATATGCATATGTAACAGTAAAGTAATACCTATAAAACTTAAACAGATTTGCAAGTCATTATTATGACTCTGCAGAAACATTAACATCTTTTACCACCTTCCTATTTTCAGAGATATTGTAGTCTATAACATACTTACAAAAACCAGAATAATTTATGAGGGAAAG